TAAGAAATGCTCATCTAAGGGAAGAAAAATGGTCCGTGCTTATCTCCTACCCTCTGGAGTACAGATAAAGCAGATAAGATTTCCAAATACAGCCTAGCTCTGTCCTGCCTCCCAACCAGAACTGGAGTCGCCCCTGGTGGAGATCGCAGCCGCCCTGCAGGGCTCTTTGGCACCGGGGTCTCACAGGGTCTCCGCCATGCTGCTTGGTGTGCCCTGTGGAGTGTCGCAGGCCTGTTCCCCATTCTAACTTCCATGGGGGAAGCCAGAGTGACCTCTGAAGCCACGTGTCCCAGCTTTATCACTCATAACCTGTGTCAGATCATTGAATCGTCATAAGCCTCAGCTTCTTCATTCGTAAAATGGGGATAATTTTACTTGCCTTTGCTGGGTTACAGTGAGGATTAAGTGAGGTACGTACATGTCGTGTCCAGCATAGCGCATGGCAGAGGGGAACTGGTCAGTGGATTTTGGTTGTCTCATCCATTCTACTAGTGATGTAAGTTATACTTATAGACCGGATATTATAGTTTTAATTTGCCTTGGATTTTACCATTTCATCTCCCTTTTTAGCTTGTAGAATAAATAAGTTCTGTGCTTGCCAGTACTTTCCGTTGTGATGGAACCTGAACATCTGGCATCCATTCATGGCTCCAACTCTTGGCCTTAACTTACTAACCTTACTTTTCTATTTTTTGCTTTAATTTTTTTTTATTCTGAATTAATTTAAACTTGGATGAGTTTTTTCCAGGCTAATGATCTGCATATATACATAGAGATGAAGCTTCACTGAGAATCCAAAACGGGGTAAATTATATTGTGGGAAGGATAAAAAGCACAGACCACAAAACTGGTTAAAGATACAAAGAAGAATAAATCGTTTCTTCCTCTGCCCAGTAGCACAGGCAATGCCCAAGTGCTACAGATGTTCCCAGTTTTTTATTTTCATTTGGAACATTCTTTGTTAGAAGTCATGGCACAAAAGAAGGTATTTGTGGCCCGTATTCAAGAATCCCTAAAGGGAAACAGACCATTGCAAGTGATGGCTGCCGGGCTCGGCCATGTGGAAAGCCATGTGTTAAGCTGTGGTTACCGTCATGAACAATTCGTGTCGTCCATCTTCATCTGGTGGGTCGGCTTTGTGCTCCTCTGACATGTCCCCAAGAAACTTGGGGTGTTTTCCCTAGGAGGCTGGCAACAGGGCCTCTTGGATCCACCAGACCTGGGAATGCTGAGACTCCGGCCTGGTCTTGGGTCCCTTCCCCAGGACAAGGAGTCCCCTCAGACCCCGTCTCCTCGTATGTGAATGACAGGACGCACACTTCCTACTCATTGCCTGAGCTGCTTGAATAAACATGGTCGTAGAGTAAAAATTTTTATTTCTTTAGAAATGGACAATCTAGAACCCACTTTAACTTATCCCAAGTTACACAGAAGTTCTTTTAATGATTAACAAATGAAAGTATGCCAGGGCGATAAATGTCTGCTTAAGAGGCGGTCAGGTAAATGAATCCCTCTGAGGACCTCATCGTAGTCTGAGTGTCCAGTGCTGGAGGGGAAGGGAGAGCAGCAAACTGGCGTGTCACCGTTCTCCAGGCGTTTATCCAGCGAGTGCCAGGCAATGCTTCATGAAACCGCAATGGTCACTGAGGAGCACAAAGAATAAATAGTCCTTGTTGTATTGCCATAGTTAGGAATTCATTGGCCGTTTGCTTCTTGACTTTTTTTTCCCCCTGCTTTAAAATCTTCCACAAACACAGGAAAATGTCTCTGCTTGAACTCTGCCCCAAGGCCCCCCTGTCAGCATCGGAGAGGGAACTCGGGTCATCGTGGACAGTCCCAGAGCCCTGAAGCATAGTTTTGAAAACCAGTGCAGTAGAGGAGAAATTGCCGAGAGGCAGAACTGTATTTTCTTCCACTTTACATCTCTGTGCTCCGCTTAGGGCCTGGCCCAGAAGGGGTGCAAGTGAGTGTGTGTGTTTGAAGGGATCTCAAAGCAAAGGGGGAAGAGAGTAACCACAGAGGTTGCACTCATAGCGAGTGAGCAGAAACTCTAAAACGGGGGGTAAGGCAGTCAGAGGGTGAGGACGTGCCCACACCTGGAGGACATAATGTCGGACAAAAGGCACTTGGTGCCGCAGTGGCCACTGCTTCACCTGGGAAGATCGTAACACCAGCCACTTCTGGCAGTTGATGCAAGAAGGAGAGCATGGTTTCGATCCAGCGTTTAGTGACGGTCGAGCTTTCTCATTTCCAGCAGGAGGACAAGTACCAGGGAAATGACAGCACAGGGGACGTGAGAAGGAAGGGGTTGGGGCAGCGTGGACAGGAAGACCTGCAGAGGGAGCAGCACGCCAGGTAGAGAGCAGTGACCAATGACCAGGGAAGGGACAGAGCTCCCTCAGGACGAGGCCCCGAAGCAGAGCTGGTGCTCATTTATTGCTATGCTCTGCCCTGGAATATTTGCATATTTTAAACATGAAACCCAGTGCCTCTCAAATGCAAGTTGTAATGATTTCTTTGTGTTTCAGGGCTCTACAGTGGCTAGAGAAGCTAGTGACAAAGAAAAGGTAAGTACCTCGACCTATTCCTCTCCTGCGGGCACGCTCGAACGGTGTCATTCTCTCTTTCTGACTGCCGCCACTGTGATTCCTTTCGTGTCCCCTTCTCTGCTCCAGAGAGAAGCACATTTTTGCACTAGAGTGTTCCACTTCACTTCTCTTCCTTAGATCAGTTGTCCCATACCTCTTGGTTGAATAACGAAGTAGCTTTAAGTGTAGTTGGAAGAAACATTTCACATGCAACATGGTCTTGTAAGTGCAGCCACCTGTGCAGTGACTTATGATCGAGACTGGCAGGTCCATGCAGCTCAGCACCAGGGTCCTAAACCCTATGCTTTAACCCTGAACGAGCATCTCTGCCTCTCTGAACCCCAGTTTTCTTGCCTATAAAATGTGGGCTGGCATGAGCTTGGTTTGGACAGTGGGTAGGTGTTGATCCCCCTTCCTGAGAGAGGGAGCAGAGTGGGAGGCGTCGTTTGAGATATCAGGGGCACATCAGAACAGAGATGTCCAATGGGCATGAGAGGCTGCAGGAAGGGTTTCAGCTGGGAAAAGGAGGGCTTGGCAAACCTCAGGGGAAGGATAAGCAGCAAAGACAGGGAAGCAGACGAGGTCACCTAGGACGAGTGTATGGGGTAGAAGCAGCAGCATGACTCTAGCCAGCCCAGAAGAACATCATTTAGGGACGATGGGTAGAGGAAGAGAGTCTTGCAAAAGATCAGCCAAACAGATAGGAGGTGAGTGAGCCAGGAGAGTCTGGATCGCTTGTCCCAATGTTTACTGAGCATCTGTTATGAGCAGGCATTTTGCCGAGACTTATAAGAAGTGCTTCAGTGAATCAGCATGACTCTAGCCAGCCCAGAAGAACATCATTTAAGGACGATGGGTAGAGGAAGGTGCTTCAGTGAATAATGTCCCCACTCTCGTGAAACTTGCACTCTTGAGTGTCCCAGAAACCAGAAGAGAATATGCCCAGAACCGGATGCTTCTGCAAGGTCAAGTAGGATCAGGACTGAGTATTATCCATTGGACTTATCAACAGGGAGCTCACTGGTGACCTTGTCGTGATAATGGGTGGGTGGAGCAGAAGCCAGACAGCAGTGGATTAAGAAGCGAGGAAGAGAAAATGAAACAGTGGATCCTTCCTTGAGCATTCCTATGTTTACCTTGCACTACTGAATATATTTTTACACTTCCAACTTCCACATAAATCACCCTGAAGGCACCAGCATTAGCCAAAGAAGCAGAAACAGTGGACTGTCAGCTTCCATGTTGCTATGACTAAACATTTTTCCCAGGTGCAAGAGAACTCAAGTAGGTATTTAAGTTTTAGTCCGTGAGAAACTCAGAGGTTTAGTAGTCTTGGAATTTTCTCCTAGGAGAAAATATCTGGATGTTTAAAGAGCCACTCACACTTTCCAGCATCCTAACGAGAAGCTAGCCCCCAAGGAAGAGCCGTGGGTGTGATGACATCCACCACTCCATGGTGGTCGCTCTGTTTTTACTTCATTCCCAAGTCCCTTAACAGCACTGCTAGTGGCCTTTTTTCCCCTCCATTCATTGTGATGTCTTCAGGATCCAGCACCAAGAGCTTGGTCTTCTCTGACAATAACCAGTGCCAAGAAAGACAGTTACAGCTAATGGAGTGGCTGCTGCCGACGTCTTAAGTCGTAAAAGAAGGACATGTATAAAAGCCACAAATATTTGATGTCCTCATAGCTGTAGTATTTTGTCGGAAGCAGAACATTCAGTTACCTATATTTCTCTCCACTGCCCACCTATGGGTCCCCCACACTGCAGAAACCCTTGGCATTCACCACAGTTCCACTGCCCACCTCACCAAAAGAGTTTAGCCTTTGACAGGTGTAGCTTTCTGCGAAAAGACAAGAGAATACAGAATTTCTTTAACAGAAAGCCACTTTTCTGAGGATTCTGCTAGGATGCTTTCATCTTATTTGGATCACGTGCTAATTATTCTTTAAAACATCTTTGGAGGTGGTCTTGAACAGTCAGAAGAGATCAGAATCCGGTTTCCCTAGCTCACACATGTCAGATTTGAGACCTGGGAGATTAAGCTCCCATGCTATGTCACACAATCAGTGGCGCAGAGAAACTTTATCTTAATCTGGAGTTTATTTTTTTTTTAATGTTAGTCTCAATGTGTTGGGAATTATAAACGTAAATAATAACTGACATCTGTTGAGCGCACACCCTATGCCAGACACGGTTTTAAATTTTACATGAATTTATTATCCTCGCTACCGCCATACGAGGTGGTACTATCATTATTTCCTTTGAGTAAGTGAAGTTACTTAACAGAGAGGTTCAGGAACTTGTCCAAGGTCCCATAATTATGACATGGAGGGTCCAGCGTTCCAGCCCAAAGCTCACCTTTCTAACCACTATGCTAAATGTGTTATTTGTTAAATGCCTGGAGCATCTCTCTCTCTTTTTTAAAAAGGGCATATTATCAAAAATACATATTAATCCGTGAATCATGAAAATGAACAAAAAAATTCAGCGCATTGATGACAACATTGTTTTGGAGTTAAATATGATACTAAAACAGTTCATGCTGAGTCGACGTAAAAATGAAAAAGTAGTGAAATAGTGAATCATGAAAATGAACAAAAAAATTCAGCGCATCGATGAAAACATTGTTTTGGAGTTAAATGTGATACTAAAACAGTTCATGCTGAGTCTTGACGTAAAAATGAAAAAGTAGTGAAATAAATCGGTTGCTTTTCTACGAAGTTGGCAAAAAAAAAAAAAAAACCAATTCGTATTTCCTCCATTTCAGAAGTTGAGGCATTTGTAAATTCAGCCCATGTCACTCTATCTTACACAGTGTACACATTAAAATCGTCTACACAGTTGCCCTGAGGAAGAATTCAATGCTCTCGACTTTCGGGTCTTGGTGTTAAGACCAAGAGACTCTCCAGAAGGAGAATCTCCAAAAGGCCAATCACCTATCTTTCTAGATTATAAGCACTCACTGGGAAGGGGCGGGAGAAAATCGCTTGACGACATGGGATGTAAAAGTGACTCAAATCGGTAACTGATGAGGGCAGAGTGTGCCTGCAGTAGGACGTGATGCCTCTCAGTTACGCCAGTTTGTTTATAATCGAGCCACAATGAGGTAACATGTACTGAACTATAATACACAAAAATAAATAAAATGTATTAATGGAGCGGAAGTCGTTAAAACATTGGGTTTTTAAGTTCTAAAAAATTTCCTTGCTTTTTTTTCTGCCAATTTTGATGTTTTCTCTCCACAATCAGTTAATATTTTTGACTGTTCCAAAAAGCAGGCTATTCTTTGTCTTCACAAATAAAACTCTAAATGTTATCAAAACAATCACTGTTTCCTCTGGTTAGAAATATTTGGAGAAGGCTGAAATTATTTGTTTTCTACGTGTTAGCCTTTTATAAATGAAACCGAATGATTTGCAAGAATATTATTTCCATCGCGCTTATCATGTAACCATATTCTCTACAAAATGATTGTCTTGTTGCAAAGAACAATTTTCAGAGAATCTCCGTCGACGTGGCTTAATTAGTCATCTGAATTCTTATTTTTTCTTTCATTGGAGTCATTGTAACTATTTTAATTTCCCATACTTTTAACTTGTTGATGACAAGTTTTACAACCGTCTTTTCAAATATTTAGTGATCTAGGTGCAGACAAGTCCTATCCCTTCGATTTCAGCTTGACACGTAATTAGTGTGATTTGCATTAGCATAATAATGAAGATGGAACTAAAGGAAATAAAGAAGTTATATTCCAACAATAATGGGATCACTTTCATGGCAACAAGTATCAGAACATGCGCGTACAGATGTCTTGAATTTTAAAAAAAGAGCAGAACAGTGCTTTTATTATTTTTTTTAAACCGTTGTCAAATTCTGACAGCTGCTATGACTTGTTTTATTCCTTAATTCTTTCCTTTTTAATGGAAGGCCATCTTCCATTCATGGCTTCAGCAGTTTAGCCTCCTCTAAATGAGACAGAGAAATGCGAATCTCCCTGGTGGTCCATCTTTTCACAGCTGCACTGCAATTCCAGTGTGACATCAAATTAGTAATTATAGCTGAGCGGACTGCTTTTTACAAATGACAGTCTTAGCATGCTGCCAGCAAGCAAGCCTGCTCAGCAGGGAATCCGGGGAAGTAAAAGAAAACATAACTGGACTCACTTGATTTCTGGGGGATTTGACCTGACTCTTTAAAAAGCCCGTGTTCTTGAGAGAGAGAGTCCTGGGGATTTACACAAATATGCATTTTGTTCATCATTTTGCACCGTTCTTCTCAAAACTCATGTCTGATTTTATTAGGTAAAGTAAAGCCTGCGTAATGGAGTCATAGGGTCACAATAAGAAGATTCCTTTTAACATATAACCTTCTCCCTGGAACCCATTTGAAAGAAAACAGCTGCCCTCCAATTGGCATTTGTATAACTATATTGGCAATAATCATTGTTGACACTTTGATAATGGGCTGCAACGAGCCGCCTTGTCGATTCTTAGGCATCATGGATTGCACTAGCAATTAAGTGGCTATCACCATCTCTGACATTTTACCTATTACCGACTGAGGTTCAGGAGAATTAATCATTAATACACACATCGGAAAATGCTTTCCTAAATCAGTTTTTAGCAATTCCTTTGTGATCTTTAGATTGTAACGCGTTATAATTAATTACCACCTCTGTCCAGTCCTTCGGGCCGCAGTGAAAAGCGACGTAACAAAAATGGCAGGTGAGGAGCACAGGGTACAAAAGCACAGCAGTGTGTCCCTCTGGGAATCTTTCTTTGACTTATCAGTTAAAAAGTGCTTCCTTTCCCGCTGTCAGTGGATGATCGGTTAAAGGGAGAGATTGTCGAGGTTTTTTAAGCCCCCTAAACTCAGCTGATGCTTTAACCGTCTATAAAATTCCTTTTCTCTCAAAACGGAAGTGAATCATTTTCGCTTGCCAGCCACTGTAAGGGACGCTGATCCCAACACCCAAA